GTACATCGGCTGGCCCCCGCAAGTCATTGTATAGGCCACATCGCATTCAAACGCCACGAATGTACAAATGGAAGTAGAATGCGTGCCGCATCCCAAAAAGGGATTGATCAACGGCAAATGCTTTATCCTTTATCCTTTATCAATCTTCTAAATGAATGAGAAAAGCTGTTAATTTGTTCCTTTTTAAGGTGATCAATCGATTGGACGACCAAATACCTGAGTACTTCAAAGATCCGAACTTCCTCGAACGGCTCGAATAGTTCCCACCACGTCGTTCATTCTTTTGTGAAAATGATACATTACACTCATAGATGTTACAAGCACAATCATTGCTGTGATGATTCATTCCATTTTCATATTATAATTATTATTTTTCATGTTTTTATTTTTATTTTGAATAGCTTTACATTATATTATCTAGTATTGCTAAGTTCTAAGTCATGCGTTGTGTGCAATCGATGCAGGAATCGATCATTTTTACAGATAATCAAGAATGGGCAATTCGTACACATTCTCATATGCGTTGTGTTTCCTTATACTAAAAAAATTGTTCAATCACCATTGTGCCTAATATCGATCTTTTTGCCCTCTCTCCTTGAAGCACGTACTGATCAGTCTGTCTGTCGTCTCATTATAGTTCCATTCAGTTTTTGAAGCATTCCTCTGTACAGTATTAGAAACATCACAACTTCTATTCTCACCGTCTCTCCACACTCTCATGCGACTCGGCTGACCTGAGAAGCAGAGTGGTGTCTGCGTCTCTGCATTCTGGTAAGAGAAGCAGAGAAGTAGATATCCAATATAACGTAGTCGTTGCTGATTATGAGAGTCTTCCTCTTCATTAACAGTATCACCCATACACAAGTATTCCAGTGTTATTATGCGAGTTTCGTCTGCTATCAATAAATAATTTTGACAGAAATTGTTCTGGCACAGTTCCAAGCTCGTTTTATTGTTCGTCCCGCGTCTACGGCGCTGCTTTCGTTTAACACGTTGACGACAGGCTGACGCGCAAGCGCGTCAGACATTTGGCACCGCATTGGACATTCTGACGCGCATGCGCGTCAGCATCTTGGTACCATTTTTCCGCGCATGTCCGACTTCTTCCGAAATTTTTTATCACTATTATATAGACAATACATCATCATGCCTGTAAACGGTGTGGTCCATGAAGCGGTCGAATATGCTTTAGTTAAGCGAAGGTTTTCTGAACCTCACTAAATTTTCCGTTTAGTTTAATCTTCGACTACTATTTTGGGGTAAACAAGCATAAAAACAAAATATAAATGCAAACAACAATGTGATACATAATGTCAAGGAATTACGGTTCTATGGATGAGATGACTTGTGTTTTTCATTGAAGCAGTCTATAAAAGAATTTTCGACATCTTCCAGCGCATTTTGACCCATTTTGTTTATTGGCCGCGAAGAGATCCTTGCTCTTTAGACATAGTTGCATAAAGTTCCAACACTTTGTGCTGTTAACTTTC